TCAATAGTGAACCATGAGGCCAGACATTTCTGACTACCAGTTGAAAGAGCTGGCCAAAATGTCAATTTCATGCTTTGGTACAGAAATGCAATGCACATGAGATAAAGAAGCCAGGAAGGAAGACAAAATCCATAAATGGTGAAAACTGGCCTTAACATCTACCATAGATAAAGAACCGCTAGCAGCCATAAAAATGGTAGAAGCTGTGAAGAGTTTCAAGACATGACACAGTATGGTTCATCAAGTTCTGCAAACAACCATGGTAGAGAAAATTAACTAGTCTCATTCCAGATGAAATATTGGCTTCGTGAACAGAGCTATAACCTGGAGAGGATGAAGCCACAAAATCATGAGTTGGCAGGGTTGAAAACCAACATGAAAGATAACCCTAACATAGCTTGTAGTATACCACTATTCAGAAATGAACAAAAGCCAGAAATGGAATTATAAAATCTCACGAAAGTTAAAAATGAAAAATAGGCATGCACTGAAAGAAGAAACTGTCAGAAAGACAGTAACTATGATAATAAAGATTAGAAAATTCAATCAATCACAATGGGCATGCAAAATCTTTAAAAAAGGAAGAGAAAAATTAAAAAAATGTCTGTTAATGGCAGTACCGATTTTATTGGTGGATGCTATTGCTTCTTGGTGATTACATGTACTTATACAGTTTAAATGAAAATGTAAATAAGGCAGAAGATAGTTCATGGTTAGTGGTATGCACAAAATCTCAATGGCAGGTGCATAAGAATTAACTACAGTGTACAAAGAGGGAAATGGATCATTTTGGAGTGTTAACTTCAGAAATGCTACTCACCTCTTCATAGCACAGATAGGCAAATTCCAAATTAAGAAAATGGTGAAAATAATGGTGTAGATAAAGAAATAAAAAATGAGCTAATTTCTGAAAATCTAACCACAGAAATGATACAATCATGGAGTGTGTCACCCATTGGAATAGAGGAACCTAATTGGAGCATCACTTGGTAGAAAACTGTATCTACCTCAAGCACGGAGTATTTTGATCCAAAGAAGTGGTAATGCACAAAATGCTGTCAAAAGAACCTCCTGTATGGTGCTAAAGAGTTGCAATAGTAAGTGGAATTTAAAGGTACATATATCCGAGGGGAGTCAGCAGACCATGTATGCACTGTAGCTAAGGCAGTAATTCAAGTCATACATTACAGGAGGAATACTTACTTGATGTACTTACCGAGATAATCAGGTGCAGGGATGAATCATCCCAAACTTGTGTCCCAAGAAGAATGCAATACTCATGACTGGTAATAACCACTAGAAATGGTCTAGTTTTTAATGTAGGAGTGGTCCATACTACAATTCCAGTAGACAACCCAGCTCTACTTCTGATTAAGGGGTATGTACACTTGGTCTCATACCAGTGGGATTACACTGATGCCAAAGGAGAACTCTCACTATTGACCTCCCAAGTGGCTTGGTACTGGGGCTGCAAGGATTCTCCTACTCCACTGGAAGAAAACAGAAGGGGGGAATTCACATACAGAAGAACAAAAAAGAGGTGCATGGACCAAATAGGAATTATCTGTTATCTGGATAAGGTCCACAATGAAAGACTGTAGAGCTTGGAAAAGGAAGCAGAGAAATTGCTGAAATAGTATTTAAACAAAAAACATCTCAACAGCAGGTACTGAGCAAGGGCAGATAGTCTTAACATTTCTTTTGTTATACCTTACTCAGTGTGGAATTCAAGAGAAAAAAACTATTCCCTGTCAGGCCACAGTGGCTTCTTAATGGGTTCTACTGTATTTTAAGGTGATTACTATTTTCTTTGCAAGACAAAGAAATACCCAACAGCCCTCCTCTAGAGCCTCTGGAAACATTGGAGAATGATGAATGGTGAGAAAAAACCAGGGACAGAAAAACAGGTATTGGGGATCATCGATCCTTGACTGCTATGTCCCATCTAAAAGATACTGATGGTCAAAGATAAGAGTAAGTCAAGAGAAGAAGTGGAATAACTCAGCAAAAAAAAAAAAGAGATGAAGGTAACAGCATACTGTATGAAAAGGACAAAGTAGATGGTCAGGGTCTGAACAATAATACAGAGAAGAAAGGGATGAGAAGTTGATTAAAGAAAACATCTAAGATGTAGATTTGGATGATATACTGGCATCATTGTTAATACCATGAGAAAAATTATTGTGGAAGAAAACCTATATTGTGGACTTTTTTTTTTTCATTTTCTTGCTCACTTTGCAATTTCTAGCTTTGGAGCCCTGTGCTCTTTGGACTAATCCATTTGAACTTCATAGGGAGGTCATAAAAAGTAAAGATTGATATAGTTTTTATTATAGTATGATATTTCAGTTTTTAATTATAAAAATAATACCTTACACAACACACATTCATCAAACATTTAATGAACCAAGTCACATTAACCTTTTTCAAAAGTTTTGTTTAAACTACTTTCAAAGAACCCTCCCTAACTTATATAAACAAATTTGAATCTTCATGCTCTACTGTTAGAGTAGCCTCTTCATGTTGTGCAACATCACGCAGTAAAAAAAGGGAATTATGTGTAAAGGACATTTAAGGAGTTTATTTTAAATAGTCAGGTTTATGGCCAATAGTTTAGTTTTATTTAGAAATGTAACATGTATATTAATTTGTTATGTTCATGCCTGAAGTTTTAATTTCATCTAATTTAGGCAAGGAAAAAACAGATACCCAAGAAAGGCTCATCTTCAGTAGTCTGTGTTATTTCAGTTTCAAAGTAATCAATGATGAGCAAAGTACCATTATTTGCAAAACGTGTTCAAAACTGGTGCAAGCAAAATGCAAAAACATGTCAAATCTACTTCATCATCTGAAGTTGTGACACCAAAATGAATACAGCAAATGCATGTATAAGACAACAGTTTGACAAGTCAATAAAATCAATGACTGAAAAACAAATAAAAATTGCAGAATCCATTTCAAGTGTTGTGTTACACTGCCAAAGATACGGTTCCAATTTACATGGTAGAAAAAGGGTTAAAAAATTGTTGAAAACAATTGACAAAAAATACAAACTTCCAAGTCAGTACTTTTCACAGACTGCTTTGTTGACATTATATATTGACTGTCATACGCAGATTGCTATCAAGTTTACAAGTGTAAGTTTTTTTCAAGTACCACTAATCTATGGTCAAGCTCAGCCATATACGAGTCTCACAGTTCACTACATTAATTCCAATTGAAAATTGTATATCAGTTGATTGCAGACATCACATTTCCCTAAAAACCACTCAGTTTGTCCTAGAATCAGGATAATGACACACATTAGGTATAGCTCAGATTGTCATAGTAAAAATAGCAAAGATAAAGGTTATGAATTTATAGGATTATTATTGACCATTGATATGGAGTAAGATTGGCAGATTTTTTTTTATAGGTCAAATTGAAGCCTGTTGACAATATGAGGTTGACTGGAGATGAGAAGCATGAATTAGGAAAGTGGTGCAAGCAGTAACAAATAGAAAACAAAAGAGAACCAGAGTCATCTACATTCAGAAGAGACCTTTTTGTGCTTACAATAACAATATTCCTTGTGGTAAAGCAGTGAACAAGGGTAGGTCAGTTTTAACTCTAATCTAGGAAGGGCTTGATTCAGTTAAGGCCAACTAAATATTTTTTCTATCCCCACCCATCCCTAGTTTGGTGTCCATTCCTCATATGTTTTTCTACTTTTACAAGCAGCAACCAGCATTTATTGTTTGGTATTCATCCTGCCATGTAATACATATTGGAATAAACAGCCTTCTTGTCCAATAGTTTTGTGCCAAATATTAGGCAAAGAAATGAAATATAAAATTATAGACAAAAATAAATGTCTCCTGTCCACACCAATTTTTCGAAAATTTGGATGAAACCAGATCATATATATGTATAAGTTGTGTGTTTTTTGCTAGTCAAATAAAATCAACTGCTAAAGTTTTATCCAAATAGTGTGCATGGATAATCGAATGTGCAGAAAAAACAAAAGAAAAAATTAAACCCCTTTTCATCCATATTAACAGCAATGACATGAAAATTTAATGCTACAAAAATTAACATATTTACATTTACATTTTTAATTGCAGTGAAAATTTTTTCACAAATAAGACTAGGCATCCCAACCAACTTGCTCATCTTCTTCCTGTTAGATTTGGTACATGTTGACATGTATTTATTCTTATTAATCAACTGTCAATATATTCTGTGAAGTAATTAGATTATAACAGAAGTCTGATTAAAAGAATAAACAATTTATAATTTTCAAGTATCTTTACCTAATTTTTTGTATTTTTATCTCTCTCTCTCTGGCTGAGTAAGAAAAACTTCCCTTCAATATGCAGTTTGTTTACATTTCAGATTAACCTTTAATTACAGCTTGTATATCTTAGACATTTTATTTTGTTAGTGATGACTTGTTAAGTAGTAAGCATAAATCATACTTAATAATAGGCTATAGTATGGTGGAGCAAAATGTTCTTGTGTTTACAATGCTCAAGCTATTTAGACAACAAAGAAAAAATAGTTTCTTCACATATTACTAGTGTCAACAAACTTAGGTCTTCACCATAAATCGTTGGCAAAGGCCAACGAGTAAATTCTAGAACTGGCAAAGCAAAGCACCCACCACCACAGTATATTTATTCTTTATAGTTATATTCAGTTATACTTATAGCTGCATCATTACTATTACTAATAGTATTACTAGTAGTAGCATTAGTACTAGGAAAACTCAAGCACCTGATTGGTGAATTAAGTTCATTGGTATTCAAGAAAATAAATTACTTTTAATAAATTTGACAACTAATTATTAATATTAAAAAAAACTTGTGATAAGATTTAAGTCAGGGTAAAGTCTGCCTATTATTATTAAAACTGTCCAACTTCCAAGGCTACTAGTAGTAGTAGCATTCATTCATTGTTACTAGTAATACTAATAGTATTAGACTGTTACAGTATATTAAGTTAAAAATTTATTAACTTACCTGTTAACTTATTAACTAAGACTTTTGTTTCTCGCTGAAATTCACTGCCAGAAATTTGTAATCTTTAATTGAGAAGTTAAAGCTTTTCGTATTAATATTAACTATGCTAAGCCTAATTACAAGAAAAGTTATAATGCCCTCTTACTTTTATTTTATATTTTGTATATATTTCGAAATTAAAACATACAAATAATTTTAAAGAACTATAGAATTTGTTTGAGATAAAAATATATGAAACGTGCAATTTCTTATATGCACAAAGTGTCAGGGTATTATGGTAACAAAACTCTTCTCTTGTATTTCAGTGATAATTAAACTAGACACTATGCTGCTCAGATATTTTACCATTAGCAATTGAGCCATTCACTCAAAGGCGGAAACCAGAGTGCAGTTAAAGCGTTATCCAGTACATTGAAAATTCATAAATAAAGTGTTAAAAAGTCGGTTAGCGTCATTTCTGACATCTTCTACATTTCTAAAACTAGAAAAATAATACAAAAGTGCATCCTTTTTAAATTATATACAACCTAGAATAAACATGTAATTTCTTAAATA